TATTATTAAATAAACGTGGGAGAAGAGTTTTGTGATCATAATTTACTAGAAAAGATATCATGTGACGTCAATGGTCAATTTTACTTTCCATTTCATAATTGGGAAGGTCGCAGGGATTTAAAACCGTCTAAGTAGAGCAACTGATAAATGTCGGAAGAATTTCTCTTTCGCTGCTGACAGAAACTTTTATCGGAATCGACACGCTTCAACTTACATTGGTAGATATTCAATTATCATACATAAAGCATCTCACGTTAGTTTCGTATTGAAATGCTTTTCTTTGGTATATGGAAATTGCATTTCGTTGTAAGCAGCATTGCAGATGAGACCGTAAAACGAAACGAATCCAATGTCATTAGAAAATGTGGTGAAGGAAATGTTTATGGGAAAAGTAAAAGGAAAAGTCTCGCTTTCTCTCTCTCGATCTCAATGACTTCTCTAAGCGCAACTACAGAATATTCCCAATTAAAAAACTTTTATTATTACTTCTGATAAGAAGAAGAGACGTCGTGAGAAAGTGAACATCTCTGCATGTGCTGTTGTTGCTGGCGATGGTGCATCAAACGATGCGAAACATTCATCGAATGAACGATCAGCGGACTATTTACGCAACTTCAAACCTTTACCTTCTCATTCTCACAAACAATTTAATGCAAATCAGAATTGAAGTTTCGTTTTTTGTGCAATATTGCGATGCCGTCGACCAGCCATCGATGATGTTGATGATGAAATTCTGAATGGGAAAACATCGCTCGTATCGAATGCTGGAGGCTTCTAAACATTTTCTCAGCTCCGCTCATTTCATGTTCAACCGTCCGATAATGTAATAGTTTAATTGATTCAATGATATAATTCGATTGTTGTACTTTATTTGCTTCTGTAGTCAATTCAAGTAATTAAATGACAAAAGAAAATAAGCAGAGAAGGTTTTCTCGACTTTAAATACTTCGAACCTAATCCATTGTATTCAACTTGAAGTCGATGCTGCTGGTGTTGTATTCAACATCAGTTGGAAGTCTCTAAATTTCCACCGATACGAGCTGATGTTGAAGAAAGTTTCGATAAACTTTTCAACCACTGACAATGTTTAATGTGCATACAAGAAATTCGTGTTTGATAAAGAAGAAGAGAATTAATAATTTTAAATACAAATTCAACCACAATTCAACATTGCAACAAGAAGGGGGAAGAGTTGTGGATGAGAGAATGAAAGAGAGTCATCTTCATTTCACTTTTTTTAGATTGGCGACGGATATCATCGTCGATTAAGTGTGACAAAAGTAGCTTCATGCAAATTAAAAATGATGGCACATGACGTAATCGCATAAAGTTGAAAGACATCGCCGAGAAAAGAAATAAATTCAGACTTCCGTCTATCATTGTACATCATAAAGTTAGCACATTCAAAAGTTTACGAGTGGCTTGAGGTTTACGTTCGTTGAGTAAACTTCTTCACTTCTTCACTTCATTTCTATTGCCAATAAATCATCAACTTCAATATTCCCAAAGAAAGTTTTATCATGCAGCGGTTGTTATTGATTTTGTTCCTTATGGAAGAAAGAAAGTTGCAAGCATGAATGCAAATCAGCGATCGACATTCAAATAGAAAGAATAACAAACTAACATGCTATCGCCTTTCTTTGAACATTCTCGTTGTGTCATCATCAATGAACATGTTTACTTCTTTCCTTACCTCGATGAATGTTTTCATTGAGAGTCTCAAGTCATCGACTTACATTCATGACTGACCCATTTCGGATGAATCTTACCTCACATATTTTTTATAAACAATTTCCTTTCATTAGTACCTTTCTTCTTGTCAAAACCATTCGCAAACTTACTTTAAAATCATCAAGATGTGTAATACAATTACCTTCTCGATTGCGTGTTATTATTTACTATAGCAAACTCAATGATTAATCACAGCATTCACCTTTCTTTCAGATCTAATTTGGAAAAAAACCAACTATGGGCAACAATTGGCATGGTAAATTGCTGCTGGTGATCGGTAAGTAGCAAAGGATTATTTCTCTCATTAAGTCATAAATCTGATATCAAGATCATCATGTACTCGTAACGTGTGCATTTGATGAAACAAACAAACAATAATGAGAGACTCATACATGACATTTTTATGATTTTTTGGAAGCTAATAAAAATGTTGTTTCATTATTGAAAACTTTGCTGACAAATTTCATGACCTTTATTCTTTTCGAAACACTAAAGCAAAGAAACTTGTTGTTGCTGTCACAGATATTAAAACTTTAAGAGAGATTATTTACGACACGAGACATGAAAATGCAACCGATATTAAGTAGAAAGAGAAGACAAAAGCGAAAACAATCGAATCATGACATTTCGTTGTGGATATTTAATGAAATGATTCAAGTCATTTCATGTTTACCCACATCGTGAACTTGAACTTTGATAAATGATTCATTTAACATGAAAATCTTTTTCATTTGCGTACAAATTTATTTCTAAACATTTACAGACAATTACAAAAAATTCACGAGTCTGATGAAGTTATTAAAAATTAAAATTCATAATAATTTGAATAACTTCTTCATTACTTATCTTTTTAGGGTGAGAACAATTTGTTTAATAAGCTTTTCTGTTTAAACACATTCATTCAGTCATCAGTAGCTTATTCATGGACGAATGTCTATTGGGGCATCTCATTATTCATTCTCTAAATGATTTAAAAGTTACTTATTTCAGTTAATTAAGAGCTGAAAAAAAGCTGTTAAAGGAATAAATCATAGATTCATGTTTCTAAATTGAGTTGACTTTCAATTAAATTGAACAGTAATGGATGTTAAATAAATGCTAACTTTAAACGATTGAATAATGTTGAAAGTTCAGCGAATATTAGTTTGATTTGATTCAATCAATCTCGATCAAAAGTTTATGTGTTCTTTTGAAATCTTATTTTCAATCATTCTAATCATATGTTTAAAGGAAACTATGTTTATGATTCCGCTTCACTTTAACATAAAATTTCAATACTTGGCGCATTACTAATTTATGTATTTTGGTTAAGGTAAAGCAGCAGTTATGCTTACGAAAAATATTTAATTACAGATCATTAAAGTTGAGAAAAATGCGTGTCTATTGTAAAGGTTGAGCTTGCTTGAGCATCAAAAATATGTCTAGGCATTTTTTTAAATGTAAATTTATAATATAAAAAAATTAGTGTGAAAATCTCACACCCAAGTAGCACCTAAAGTAAGAAGCAGCATAGAAAAAAAAGAAGAAAAATTATTGATCTCAGTTCAAGTCTATCTAGTAAGACATTTCAATTATCTTTATTTGATCTGGAAATCAGTGGAGTAAACAATATTTACGAGATGTTTCAATTGCTACATTACAAGTGATTTAATAAAATCGTGTCTACAAGATATCAAATTAATATCTCGACGCCCAATCATCTCTATGATATCCAATTGTAAATATCATTTTCTCATTATTAGAGAATTAAAATTTCACAGAAGAAATCTCTTTCGTCAGAATGAATATCGCAGCAAGATTTAATCTCTCCAACATTTCTCATCATGACGTTTTCAATTTGCAATCAAATTTTATTTACTTTAAGGAATTCCAAATGAAAAAATGAAATGCTGAGCTACTGCCTGTCAACAAGCAAGCAAGCTGAGATGATTTGAACAAAATTTATGATGCAATTGATCTGTTTTTGATTCATATTGCACTAAATTTCACGGTCTTCAATCAATTATTTTGACAACTATAATTACAACACTAACATCTCTTTTATTACTCACCTCGTTTCTCCTACATACAAATTTCATGATCATTGTTACCATGAAAAACGTAAAACAATTTACTTTGTGAGAAATTCGAAAAGTTTTACAATATAAAGTAGAAGCATGAGTTTTTTGGCTACATTTCTGAGTTTTTATTTAAGTGACCAAACGCTGAATAATAATTGTAAAAGCTTTTAATAGAAACTGTAAGAAAAATTTGTTGAATTATGACCACAAAATGTCAGAGTTGCTTTGAAACGATGCGGCTATGGTTTCCGCTTACTGTTGATCTTAAAGTTTTCGTGATGGCAATCAAATGAGCTCTTTTTATGATTTAGTAAAGTTATTTGTTCATAAATTTTCTTCCGTCTTATTTACATTTCCTTCGTTTTTGTTCCAGGTATCATATTGTTCATCAGTCTTCATTGTTTTGGGTTAAAGGTGAGTGATGGTACTTTTCTCTTGATTCAATTTCATTCGCTATGTTTGAAGAGCGTTTGATAGCGAAAAATCAACAAACAAGAGACGCTCGTTTATGACTTTCTATGTATTTAAGCCTTTTTACGATCGCATAAAATCAATTTTAATTATGAATATTATCGAACTCGTCGCATCTTCATTCATATTGAATGCCAAAGAAATGAGAAATTTCTCCTTTACAATGATAAAAGGGCTTAAACGATGATAATTCTTCATGCCACTCATTCAATTGTATCTTCTTATGAAAGTATGACTTTTATTTTGAATAACGATCTTCGCAAACTTCAGAAGATAAAAACATTTAAGCGCATTTTGCCTTTAACTCTTTCCGTCTCTTTCATTTCTTTTCAATTTACGATTTTGAAAGGAAAGAAAAAGTTGAATTTATTAAAGAGGTAACGTGCATAAAACAAATGTCAAATGTCATAAGGAAATAAAATGAATGCAAATAAGTCATTTTAAATTTGCAATAGATTACGATGTCTTATTTAAACGTTGTAAGTGGTGGAAAGAAGAAAACTTTTTCATTCAATCAATTATCGCAATACAAAGTGAACAAAATGAGTTTTTATTTAAACAAAATTGAACTGAAAATTATTTTACAATTGAATATTTTTTCATCTTATCTGTGACTATCTAAATTTGTATGAATGCGTGTAACTCAAGATTCTCCTTGTTGGTACAATTCGTCTTCATACTTTTGAACAATTACATCATTTTACATAAAATTAGCATAAGTATGATTTTCATATGTATGTAAGCTACATGCAACAGTGACTAAGTAAGATTTGAATACAATAAGTCTCTTTCTATCTCCTTCTCCTACCGGCTTAAATATTCATTCCGATTTCTGTTTTCTCCTTCATATTTTTTTACGATGATTTTTTATCTGATGATCATATGGGAATCACATTTCATAACATTCCTATTTACGAGAAGAAAAGAAGAAAATTTTTCTTTTAATTAATTTTCTTCTTCATTTCATTTTCGCTCTTTGTGCTAATCCGCATCCAAGCAGCGTTTATCTCATTTTCATAAAAAATAATTGTTTTTATGCGGCGACCAAAGTCGAATAATGGTTTAAAATGAAAATACTTGCACTCGTGCTTGTGGGGGGAAGAATGATGAAGAAGATGCTCTGAGAAATGATGAAAATGTGCGGAACACAAATAATAGCATTAAATAAGAAGTCGGAGCATATTTCATCATGAAAACCTATAGTAAAAAAAGAAACCAAAACAAAAACGTAATGTTAATCATATTTTTTCATTTGTTTTGTTTTCGTGTTCATTTCTCTCGCGCGTCACCTCGTAATGAAGAGATCATCTACTTACTATTAAGGCGAACTATGTGCTTACTTTTTCTATCGTAAAGCAATGAAAATTGTGACGAAAGAAGAAGAAAAATGCTACAAACTTTTCCTATTGTTTCAAAAGATTTTTTTATGAGGTAAACCGAAAAAATAAATGATTAATTCATTCAATCGTTTCACGGGGGTCTTTTGTACTCAGTAGAAATTTGAATCGTTAATTTTTATGATGAATAAATATTTGCGTGGTCAACATGAGATAAAAACTTATCGAGTTTCCTTTTAAAATCTCTTCTTCTAAGTTGCTTTAAAATGGTATAAAATTCTTGCCAGAGCTAAAAGAACGTCCAAAGCAAAAGCAGGTAAAAAAGGTTCACTGATTTAATTTGAAAGTATTAACTGAATCAATTGACAAAAAGTCATTTAAAAAAATATAACAAAAACAATTGAGAATAGTTAAAGTCGTTAGCATAATTTCACAATCAAATTAAACATCAATGTTTACTTTAGTTTAAGCAATGAGATCGCTATCAAAAATGTTTCGCGCAAAAAAGTAACAAATTGTTTCACCTAACGATTCAAGAGCAATTAATTCATTACCAGCACAGCAAGAAATCTCAATGAAATGAGTCACTAGTGACAGCTAAACAATTTGGTCGCGTTTCTTCTATTTGTACATGTCGACGGAATGAGAATTTATGTTGCGAGAAAAGAAAAGAAGAGAAAAAAAATTAAATTTGTCTTCATGTTAAATGACTACGAATTGTAATTGTAATTAAATGTGACCAATTAACTGTACCAAGTATTATTCAAAAGATGCTTTCGTTACCACATCTTTTGAGTGTTTCATGGCATGAAGAATCAAAATTAAAAAATACATTTTATTAATATCATTTATGTTTCTTTTTCCTTCTCTCTTTCTGTCTTGTTTTATTGATTTTTGCACAGCGTCAACAAACTTCACCTAAGGTAGTTGCACAACGAACCGGAGCAGCAAGATTTGAAGAATATTTTGATGATGATGGGAACACAAGTCACGAATCAAAGTTGAAGAAAAGGTTTTTGCAAGATCCCGACATCGAACCTATCGAAGCTGATCCTGAAGTTTATCAAGGAGTTCTTGGTCGACCTGGTGTTGATTTTCCAGTGATGACAACAATTCCAAAGACAAATTTCGATTGTAAAACCTTGGGCAATGGATATTTCGCTGATTTGGAGACTTCTTGTCAGGTATTCACTTAATTAACACTCACCGAGTGAACATTGTTAAAAAAAGTTCTTTTTCTCTCTTTCTTCTTTAACGATATTTTTTAGGTGTTTCATATCTGCGACGAGGGCCGTAAAATTTCATTTCTTTGTCCCAACGGAACAATTTTCCGTCAAATTGATTTGATATGCGATTGGTGGTTCAAAGTCGATTGCAATTCAGCTCCAACGCATTACGCTGAAAGTTCCGAACAACTTCAACGAGCACAACGATTGCGTCAAACAAAATTGCGTCACGTTGTGAGAAGCGAACAAGGGTTTGGTGCATCCGGCGAAATCTTTTTCCGCAACGATGCCCGGACAGCTGAATCTATTCAAAAGACAGCAGCAGTTCGTTTGCCTCAAGGTCGAGCTCTTCGAGCTAAAAATGTTAAAATTAACAAACGAATGGATAACAATAGCGATGATGAAAATCGATCCGACGAACATTCAAATGCTTCAGAAATTCTTTATGCTCGTCGAAATAGTCGCAAAGGAAAGAAGGTGCAAGATGATAGCGAAGAGAAAGGAAAAGAGATTCAAGACACAGCTGAAACTTCATCGTTTGTGAAAGATAAAACTGTTTATAATGGTTACACATATCCGTCACCCAGTAACTCGAATGGTTACGTTTATCCCAATCCCAATCATTTCTCATATTTACCACCATCTCAGAGAGAATCAACGGAAGATGTTCGTCCTAAGCCAGAAAAATTCATTAAGCAAAGTCAACCATTCCTTCAAGAACCGCAACCATTCACAACACGTCCTAAAGAAACACCAAGTGAAATGTACGCTTCGACAGTAGCAACATTAGAAGTTTCAACACAAGGAAAAGTTGGAAAAATTTTAGAAACAACATCAACAACTCAACGAACGGAAACAAAGTCAACTGCTTCTGTGTCAACATATCGTGGAAGCACAACTTATCAATCAAGTCTTAACTCGAATGAGAATAATAGCGCAACAAAAAGTTTCGTACGTGTTCAAACGTCAAATTTAATCGCAAAAGATGATACAAACATAAAAACAACAACACCAAGTTATGATTCACAGAAAATCAATACTTATTCGACAGCAAGAAAACCGAATTCGAGAACTAAAGAGACGCCTTTCTATACTCCAACAATTCCAACAATTCGAGAGAATTCTGCATCAACATCACCTGAACCAGTAGTCGCTGAAAAACTCATTGAAACTACTACGCAGCCAACAAATTCTGAAATTGTTAAACATGCTTTAGAAATGATGGAATCATTAAAAGATCTTGACATTGATAGTGTGATTGAACCAGAAGGCGATCGTTACACGGGACAAAGATTGGGCTTAGAAGTTCCACCATCATCAGGTCCAAATGCGTTACATTCTCTCGCTCTTTACTTTGCAAATGGTGACGTCAACAACACTAAGCGAATGATTGAATCACAAGCAGCAAAAAATTCTAAGGATTCCATTTCTTCAGTCTTTTTAAGTGACAAAACTGTGACAAAATATGAACAACTTTTTACAAACGATCGAAAACCTACTGAACCTTCAATAACAAAATTGAATTACGAAACCACTCAACAAACATCTGATGATGATTTTCACAATGATTTGGATACCCAACAATCCAAAAATCCTATTTTATCAGCAGCTGGAACACCGCAATTGAGAGAAATTGCACAAGTTTTCACCCACGCTTTGTCAGCTTATTTACAAGATCCAGAACAATTCAGAAAGATTTTATCAGAAATTCGACCTACACAACCACCACCAACATCACTCAATGAAATTCCAAGGTTTCCAGGTGAAAATGAGTTTGTGAGACAAGAATCGGCTTACAATGTTCCACGTGGAACAAGCGCGACAGCAAAACCAGAAGATCTTGAAATATTTGATTTCTCTGATGTTACGGTACCATCAAAAGTTAAAGATGAAGAAACGACAACCGAAAGCATCGAAGAAAACACAACAACTGAATCTTCATTTATAACTACAACTTACAATCCACAAGTTATCGAAACACTTCCACCAGCATCATCAAGTTTCGCTGATAAGACACCAGCATCTCGTCTCATAACTGAAAATTCTGAGAAACAAGCAAATGAAAAATTAAGAACACCAAAAGAGTTGAATTTGTTACCTCGACTTCCAGCTGATGAAATTAATGGTGAATTGAAACCAGCATCGCGATTTAATATTGACTTTGAAAATGATGAATCGAGCAAGGAAAATGATGGAACAAATTATTTTCCTGAAAGCAATGACAATAGAAATAATCTCAGTCCATATGGCTTTGGAGTGAAGCCTGAGAACAGCACACCGATTAATGACCCTTATCCAACATCATTAGCTGATACTCAAGCTATTCCACTTCGATGGGGTGAAGAGATAACAACAATCAATCCAAACGATTTTGAAGTTCCAACTGTTTATTCTGGTCTTCTTCCACCTTTCGGAATCAATGGCACCGAAGTGTTTAAAATTCCTAGCAATGAAATACAAGCGCCAAGTGAAGAAACTGACGAACATTTGCAACATGCACAAAGTCAATCATTCGTTTCAAGTCGGAATAACATTTATGCAGACTATAAACAATCGAAAACTTACAATGACTATTTGAATTACAATGAAGAGTTTCTCAGAGGAACGACAAACTTTGGTGAGAAGATCTTAACAACAACTGAAATTCCAGAACAAACAACTATTAAAGGACATTTTGTGACGAAAGCCATTCCATTCACCACAACAGAAGCTCAGGAGACGACGACTTTGCCTTATCCAACGACAACGACGTCTTCAGTAGATTCAATTAAGACGACGATTCAAGATACTGGAACATTCAATACGAACTCAAAGACTACAATTTCTTATACAATTTTCTTAGATCCATTAACAATTAATGACGGACTAATGGAATCAGAAGAGTCGAGTACAGTTTCACCTTCACCTAACACGTATCTGCCCAACAGCAAAGAGGTCACTGATCAACCATCATCAACATTTGCAACAACTCAACGACGTGGAAAATCTTCATTCGCAACAACACCTCTAACGATACGATTTGCAAGTGATGAATCAAACAGCATCGAACCAATGCAGAAGCGTGCAAATGAAATGTTTGGCAACTTAAATGAGACTCAAGTGAATCATCTGATGAATGTTATGAAAAAAGCTGAGGAGAATAAAACAGTTAAACGATTAATTTTACTTTTGATACAAACATGCGATGGTGATGATCATAATAAAACATTGGAAGAGTCGAGAACTGCACTTTTGAATGCCTTGATTGGAATGGACGAAGCTTCAGGCAATGAGAATCGAAATCAAATTCGAATAATAAACACGAGAAGAGAAAAAAGTTTAGAATTGACCACAACTACAACTGATATTCCGATTACAACATACAAAAGCCCACATCATGACAAATACACAAGTTCAGAGGGTGCGAGTAGAGAGATTGACGATACAGAAGCACCAACACTCGCGTACGATGTTACAACATCGAATCCTCATGCACGATCAAACTATTTTGAAAGTGAATCAATTGCTGAAAATGAAAATGTTTTAACAACAGAAACCGAAGTGCCAACGACTGAAATAATATCATCAACAACATCGACCACAGAACAACCAATTACATATCCAACATCAAACAGCAACAGCCGATCGAACGAATCAAAACCAAAATTCCGTCTTAAATCGAAAACCTTGACAGTCAGTTCAGCTGGCGGTAGACATCAGAAGAGTTTAGGAACAAATGAAGATTACGTAGCTGAATCAAGTCAAACATCGACAATTGAACATAAGAGAGCTGATGCGAGGGCTTTAGAACTTCTTAGATCACTTTATTCGTTGGCATCGCGATGGGGGAAATAAGAGTTAAACTCGAATGTTTAACTGCTGATATTTCTAAGAGCCATATAATGAATTTAAGTTTGCTTTAGTTTATGTTGCTGGTTTAGTCCTTATAAAGCTGCTTTGACATCCTTATTCATACTTATTAACAAGTTAATTAAAGTTTATTTCAATATCCTTCAATTGTTTTATCGTCAATTCGTGATATTTGTAAATAAATACGAAAGTCTCGTGATAATCGTTTGCTTAACATTCTCGCTCATCACTAATCAAATATTTTCATTCTTTTTAAGTCATTTTTTGTTATTGAGTATGACGAACAAATTAAACTGGAATTAATTTTTGCTTGCATTGAAACAAATCTTATTGCAGATAAGTCTGAATTTTATATTGAATTAAGGATCGAGTGTGACAACCTAACAGAAAAGAAAAATTTTCGTAGTGTTCCACAGAATCCTTTTAAAAATTTTAAATCCTTAATTTTTCATTTTAGATTTCAGTTTAATTCTTTTATATTAACATTAAAAAAAAAAAATTACATGATAAACGCATTAAAATCTTTTGTAAAATATGTTTCATGTAAAGTTAGATTTAATTCTAAAAGAGAAATGAATATCTAATAAAGTTATTTTAGCTATCAAAAAAGAAGATTTTTATTCTCATTTGTCACCGAAAAGAAACCTGATTGAGATAAATTTGAATTGAATTTCGACTTAAATGTTGGAGAACTTGTAATTTAAGGAAGGCATTCCTGTAAGAAGCGATTAGTGTGCTAAATAAATGAACGATAAATGATATTAAAACATCAACTTCTATTTGAACTCCAGTTTATTTATATTGTCAATACTTTTGTTGAAAAATTACAAAAATCTCTTTGCACAAGAGAACTTCGAAAAGAATATTCTTATAAGAAAAAGGAATCTTATTAAATGCAGTATTTAAAAATGTCGTGGGAGAAATATCTATTGAATAGAGGCTTTCTGTACGAAGACTTCCTGTAATTAATAATACTTAGATATTTACATAAAAAATCAATAAGTAAGAAACGTCTTTTTGTTTGGTTCTATTGGAATATTGAATAGAATTTTGAAAGTTTTCCTGAGTTCTCATTAAATATTTGTTTACTGATCTACTTATTTAATGTCTAAGTTGACATGTCTTTTAGATTATTGATAAATAGTAAAAGAGTTCAAGGCAACAGGCAATTACGCGATAACTATTTCCGAGGTATTGTTGTTATGTTCTTCGGATTTATCAGAGCTCTGGTTGTTTGGTTCTATGTACTGCCAAAATTCTAAAACTGAGTTAGAAAACGGCATAACATTGAACAACAATAGTGAAAAATCGAAAAACCGATCATATGAATCAAGTTCGTCATTCATAAAATGCTTAAGGACAAGTTCAAGTATGACACTTATCAATGATAGCATCACAAGAATTCCTTTCTTCGTGCCTTTGGTATAAAAAGTCAAAACAATCGAAGTCAATTGCACACCTTCAGCCAAGATTTTCAACCTAAAATAACAAAAATCAAAATTAAAAAATATTTCCAAACAAATACAAACAAAGTCTTTTAACATTTTCATCTAAACTTAGGAAGCATTCTGAACTCATGTCAGTCACGCAAACTAATTGTTTTTATATTCTAAAGCTTCTGCATATTTTGTTATAAGATGCCTTCCAAGTTAAGGAATGTAAAATGAAAGGTTCTCGCTTTGATGTCAGATCTGCCATCAAGTCTGACGACATATTATGACGTCAGATCTGAAATCAAGTTGACTACCCTACTAAAATGACAAACATCGTTTATGGAATCAATCAACATACTTACAAGAAAATTCCGAAACTTGAAACATTCAGATATTTTGGAATCATCAATGGAATTAAGAATTCATACAGCATAAAAGCATAGAAGAATGTCACAAATACGAAAAGGTACTCAAAACTCGGCGTAATCATAATTTTGCACATAGTGTTGATCTTCTTTATCCACCAAATATTCTTAACGAAGCAGCCACTGAGTCCGATAAGTAGAATAATCCATGCTAAGCTTAGTGACATCCAATTTAAAAAACTCCAAGGCTTATTAAAAATCAAGAACCACCAAACGGCTTGCGTAACGATGTTGCTGAAAACAAAGATGCAAGTTTTGGTCAAATTTAAAGAGTTTTATGAGAATAATTTAGGTTTTTAGGATAATTTAGTATATTCTGATACCAGACACTTTTAACTAACACTAAAAAATATAAAATTAACATGATCTTCATACTTATTTAAGGAATTTAAATTTTCAAAACACGCCATGTTTTATTCTTTTTCACAGGGGTATAAATTTTCGTGAGATAATTTAAATCGTATAAAAATATCCAAATAAATCTTCCGTAAGGTAACGACAGAGGGCGCTAGATAAATAGAGGGCGATAAGTAAATATCTCGAAAAGTCCGTTGCAAAAATAAGTAAATAAACAAAATAAAAATAAGTACTCACTTCATTCATGTTATTATCAGTTGATGTCAAAAGTTCGTTTATTTGCTCAAACTTTTTATTGGCATGAATCATGATTTTCCTATTCCATTTAGAAAATGTGATTCTTTGATTTTCACTTTACGACCCATTTCATAAATTCCAAAATTATTTATCACTTTAAGGATGAAATTTGAGATATTTTTCCCATATTCGACATCCTTGCGTTAAATTGCGACCGATTTGTTACTATCAGCAAGAGAAATTGAGAACGACTAGATCAGAATGGATCTTATTCGCGGATATTTTCACTTTATGACACAGCTCACAAATCCCAAATTATTTGTAACTTTTAGGATGCAACATTTCGAATTTCTGATGACCGACATCGTCCAGTTAAATCATACGCGATTCTTTACTATCAGTAAGGGAAACTGAGAACGACGAGATCAGAATGAAACTTTTAAGTCTGGTTCAGAATGTTGTTTTGTGTTGGTGTACTGATAAGAAAAATTAAATCACTCATTTCAGTCACACAGTCGTATTTTGTTAATACTTTCTTTTTGATAGTGATTAAAGGCGGTTTTTAATAAAAATTCACTAAATGTGCACTCCACGATAAATTTTTTCAGACTGAAAATCTTTTGAAAATTAAGTATAGAAATATTCAAGCCTTTTTGCGTGAGCTTTCTTTGTACAAACGATTTTTCATCGAATTATCTTGCTTGTTTATATAATACACTCATCCACACTTGATCGAACACAGATGCCCTGAATAAATAATTAACTTGAGATTTCAAGCCACAGTTTGATTCTCGTGTTTTCACAATTTCATCAAGAGTTTTCTATGAATAACTCGCATATACACCTATTTGCTAAAATCTTTCTTACTTTTATTTAAATATTAAAATCATGACTATTGTAAACATTTTTAAATTTCTTTCATTGGCTATTTTTGAATTTCAACTCGAGAAAACAAGAAAGCAATTATCATAATCGTAAATATATCAGGATAATGTTTGTTTGCTTTTCATTTTTTGTCGAAGAAGTTTGAGAAGTTCCTTAAAGTTATGTGACCAGCAAAACCAGTAACTGCGCATTATGGTCGTGAAATAAAGTAGAATAATTTCAAGTTTCCCATTTTGAGCTTTAAAGTTTAATATTATCAAAAGAAAGTTAAAGTACATTAAAGAATATAATTTCGATTTATTTTTATAAATTTTTTCTAAAATTTTACGAATTCGTGAACAGATAAAATTTCAAAGTTTCTTTTAAATATTTCAAATATGAACATAAATGAAGAAACTTTCTTCTTATTTAATAACATGTTTTGTCATGCTGGTAGTAGGAAATATTGTTGTACACAGTCGGTGCATAAGAACAAGAATAAGACGTCGGTTTAAGGTTTGATTTTGTAGCATTTCGAAAAAGTTCGTCAGTCCAATTCTTGTTGTTTCACTTCCTAGGAAATGTTTCAGATCATCTAATGAAGAGAATGTGAAAATTAAAAAACGGTTTTCATAAATTGTTTAAGTTTTTACCTGATAAAAACGCAAATAATGCCACCTTCGCTGCCATTCTTGTCCTAAGTTTGGTTGTATCTTCTCTCTGCAAGGGATCTTGTCTGATCCCATTTGGCCAAACGTTGTTTAAAATTCCACACAAAACATCTTCAACTTTTTCAACATCCAAAATGTATTTCTGTGCAATATCAAGAATCCTTTTATTAATAGATTGACTGATGAAAGGAGCAGCGATAAAACTTTGAATTCCTTTTTTCAGCCATTGAGATCGACCATCAAGATCAAAGACGACATCGAGAAGATTCACAAAAGAAATCAAAGCAGGAAATTCTGAAGAACTTTGAGTATCAATCTCATCATCAGCAAGTGCAAACTTTTCGATATTTTTACTAAGAAATATTCTCGATAATCCACCAATAAAACTGTCAGGCATGTTACGAATTGTTCTCATTCCTGATTTCAGTGGATTCACAATATGTTTTGTCACTTTCGTTCCGTGAATTTCACGATCATCTTGATCAGGCTCAAGGAAGTCTAATATCACATAATGCATAGCATCATCAGTGTCTGCTTTCTGACAAATCACTTTAAGAAATTCGTTGAGAATCACCATTCTTCGTTCAATTAAACTTCGATTTGTGTTATGGAATGTTTGCTTCTTTGGAAAAGGCAATTGAGCTGTTTGAAGTTTAGGAAATTTCCGTAACAAAAGCTTCTTCATTTCTAAGAATTTCGAGTATCTTCGGTAAATATGCCAACTTTTTTGATGCTCAACACCGTTTGAATCCTTTTCAATCATATTCACGTTGATAGCGTAAACAGCAAAATTTCCACTGCTGTTAATTGCTGTGTTGATAATTTTTGCTGTTAATCTTGGTGCGACGATGTTTGTTGATTGGCGAGCGAGTAAAATTCCTGTGTCACTATGTGATCGTTGATGTCGTGATGGGCTTAAATTGAAAGTAACTTCATCGGTTGGATCCAGAAAATCCATCTCATCGTCAATTACAAAATCACCCGAACTTGTGTCACTTTTTGTTTCTTTATTTTCCGAGAGTGTTAAATCAATTGAAGGCTCACACTCGGTCTCTTCAAGCTCCAAAAGAAGTTTCTTATATGCCGGTGATTCATAAAAATTCTGAAGAAAAACATGTTCGTTCTTCAACTTCTCGTAAACAAACTTACAAATCGATTCGAACCATAATGGATCCGGTTGAATGAAAGTATCTTTGATTTTAATATGCAAAACTTCGATCAATCCTTGATCAACATTTAAATAATTTGAAGATGTTGGCAATAAATATTCTGTATAAAGATTGAAAGCTTTATCGCGAAAAAGTTTATACAAAGTTTGCTTCTCTTTCACGTCGATTGTTTCAGAAAGTTTATCAGCAGCTGTAGCCTTCCAATCTTGTGCCAGACAATAGAAAATTACATATTTTTGAAGATTCATGATTGAAAGATAATCAAGATAATAACTTAATGCTAAATCTTTCGAAAGAATCTCATCTAAAGTCAACAGTGGAAGTTTCGATGTGAATTTCTCGTTTTCAAAAACTTTCTTTCCACTTGAGTCAATGTTTTGATTTTGTAAGCTGCTGATTCTTAAGTCAATGATTTTTTGAGTATATTTCAACGATGCAAGTTCACCAACATACTTTGGATCGCGATGTTTCACATCCATCTCTCTTGTTATCATATGTCGCACTGCTCTGAGCTCGGATAAATCGCTACATTGTCGAATCATTCTGATGAGAAACTCTGATGATGGCGGATCATTGATGAATAAATGCGCAATTTGAAAGTTAAGAAAATCAGGATCTGATAATGTGTTTGTCACAGCCTTTCCAACGACACAAGCGAGTATTGTCGAGAGAAATGATCGAGTAATGTCACATTTAAAATCTTCTGGTTGAAGCGTAAAATACAGAGCAGTTTCAATTACAGCAATCAAATGTTTTTCCAAAGCTTCGTCATTTAAAGATTCTTCTTTAAAATTGTTGTTTGAGTTACTGAAAAATAACTCTAAGAGCTGACTATCGGGATCCATTAATTTTTCATCTGTTTGCACTGAGTAAAATGTTGAGTTTGCAACTTTCTTTTGTATTAAAGCATTTCCTAATTTCCAGTTACGAGAGTTAGCTACATCAGTGTCACTTTTATTACGACGATGGAAAGGAGAATTGAATCTGCTTGTTGGAATGACAGGCGCTTTCTTTGTCTCACTTAAGGTTCGCTGTGCGTGGTTAAAACACTTGATATGGGCTGCTACATCATCTACCATTTTTGTAGTCAATGTTGTTAAAAGAGGAGCTTGTCTCAATCTAGTTGTGAGACTTTCGATAGCCTTTTCAACAGCTTTTCGACTTCCAGAAGGGAAATCTTTGTCATTAGAAAGTTGCTTGTACCACGACTCAACGAAATCACGAAAAATGTTATCTAAGATATTGTGAATAATCTCATCTATTTTTTTATGGCCTGATAAGTTGTGGAATCTGTTTCTTGACCCTTTGTTTAGATTTTCTAAGCTCTCATTTCCAGATCTTGTTTGATTATTAATGTCAACTATGAGAAGAAAAATGTAATTAGATAAATTATGTAATGAGAATATTTTACATTTATACTTACAGTTTAATCCCAACTGTTTAGTCACTAGCTGATCTAAAGGATGTTTGATAGAAGTTATGATTTTTTCATCATTCTTTGGCGAAATACTTAAAATTACTGATAAAACTGTTAAAATTGCAACAATAATACATGAAAGGAGTAAATAAACTCCAAAGAAGCCTAATACTTTGAATAGAGAACAACTAATTATTACTATAACACTAATTAGTCGATAATTCATGGCGAAAGAATAAAAGAATTGAATTTTTTTAGTTTGTTATCTTGTTTTGATTTGTTCAGGGGTAGACAAGCTACTAACATGAAAATTTGAATTTATACGTTACTTTTATTCTCACTTGATTTGACACTTGACTTAAAAAAGCTTCTCTATAAATTCATGAAAAAGCTTTTTAAAATTTCAAACACCCCATGTTATATTTATGATTGACCAATTCTTTGTCAACATGTTGAGTAACTTTATACATAAAGTTAGGCTGCAATTTTATCAACTTTCCGGTATATTTTTAATAATTTTTTTTTACTTTTGAAAACGAAGATGACATTGAACTG